GTGTGTGTGTGTGTGTGTGTGTAGGTCACAGTTTGGCTCAGACAGGACAGATGGACTACTCCAAAGCATGGGAGCAGTACTATAAGAAGCTAGGCAAGTCCACACACACATACGCACACGTAGACACACACACACACACATTCAGGAAGAAATCAGACCTGCAGGATTTATCAGAACCACGAGGCTTTCTGTCAGGTCTTCAGTCTGCATTTAGCAGCAGCTGAGTGTGTGTGTATTTGTGTTGATGTGCGTGTTTGTGTTGATGTGTGTGTTGGTGTGTGTGTTTGCAGGTCAAACAAACCAGCCTCAGAACCTGATGGCAGACTACAGTAAGGCCTGGGAGGACTACTACAAGAAACAAAGTACGGCACCTGAATGTGTCACAGTGAGCACTTTGATTCAGACCCACCATTGTGTTTTAGTTTCCTCCTTTTTCACAAAAACACACATTCAACTTTCTGGATGAAAAGTCCTCAAACAAAATACACACCACCTGTTAGTGACAACACACCAAGAGGTCCAGTCCAGACGTCATGACAGAATATTTCTTCTTCTCTGCTGTCTGTAACTCATGACGAACTGATGTCAGTAATTATTAGCTGGTTATGAGTCTCAGCAGGAGCAAAAAGATTTTAAACTGATAATGCTTCAAAACTACCTGCAACACTTCGGTTGTGTTCACACCTGACACGTTTGTATGGAGCGAAATTGGGGTCATAAGGTTTGTTCAAAATAAAAACAAACTGAAACTGAAAAATTATTTTGAAACTGAAAAATTATTTTGAAACTGAAAAATTATTTTGAAACTGAAAAAAAAAGTTTCAAACATCTTGTCTTTTCAGTTTCAAATATTTTTTCCAGTTTCAAATATTTTTTTCAGTTTTTCCAAGCTCCTCAGGACCACTGTGGATACCTTGAAACCAGAGTGCTCTGGATGTTGACCAATCAGGAGGCAGTATTTTTATAACGGTTTGTTTGTGTTGCAGGTCAGTCGTCTCAGCAGAGTTCGGTGCCAGACTACACTGCAGTGTTAGCAGAATACTACAGACAGCAACAGCAGCCCTACCTGTGGAACCCCGCCCAGATACAGGTAACGCAGGACGCCTCACCTGTTGGTAAACCCGCAGCAGCTCTGATTGGTCCAACACGCTGAACCGTGATGTCATTTCCTGTTTTCGTCAGGATCACTAGAGACTCGTCCGTCGCCGGCTCAGAGCTCTGGATGGTCGTTGACAGCAACCAAATCGGGGTTTCCAAGCAACTTTCTGCCGCTTCTTCCTTCCTTTTTGTAGAAAAAAAATAAGGATTAACTAAAAAAAATCACAAAGTTTTTCTTTCTGTTTTTTAACTTTACAAAGTTGACATTTTGTCGGGCAGATTTTTTTGGACTAGCGTCTCCGCAGCGTAGACCTGGTTTTTCTTTATTTTTCTTATCAAACTTGAACTTAAAGATCTATCAGTGTGGCTTTGAACAAAACAAATTCAGTATAATCTATATTTTGTCTAGTTTTATTTTCTGATAAAAAACGGTATAAGGCTTAGCAGTCTTGAGCAAGAAATCAGATATATTATTATTTTTGTTTATGATAATGTTTTAAAGCATGCGTCAGATTGTGTGACTCAGTTTTTTTTTTTTTTTTACATTTTGACATAGATATATTTTAATAGCGTCGGATGAAAATGTGATGTTTTACCGTCGGAGATAAAACTGTATTTTGTACTAAATCTGTGCTCGCTGGGTCTGTTTCTACTCCATCTAATTTTACATGTTTAGTCGCCATCTTGGAGGTGCAATGATGCGATTGTTCTCTTTGGTTTGATGATGATAGTTCTTATTCTTGTGTATCAATAGTGATCTCTTTAGGTTTTATGATGTAATAATGAATAAATGCCGATTTATATTGCGTTGTCTAAAAGCCAGACCTCTCTGTGGTCGAACACGTGATCTAACCTCATTGTTTCCACACATTCACTTTTATTACACACGCAGGTGAATTTACTATTTTCTTACAGAGTAAAACTTTATTATTGCTGTTGGTTATCTTTTTGGACAAAATGTTTGGAACTAAACTATGAAGATATTAAATTTATTGGTGTAAAAGCTGAACAAGTCCAAACGAAATAAGGTGTGTGTTACCTCAGCCGCGTGTTTTTGACGAGTGAATGTTTCTGTTAGCTGATTGTAATCTGAGCTGTTTGAACATTACGTTTTGTTTTTATTCTGGTATTTGTTTAGTGAACGGGTGTTTAAAGTGTTTGAATGAATGTGGGTAAATAAAGCATTGTGTAGCTGTTAATTAATATTGCCACGCTTATGGCAGATTCACTCAAAACAAAGGCTTTAAGCTAGGCTACATCATATTAGCATGAAAATATTGTAGATTTTTTAATTCCAACATTTTTGACAGTTGTAGCCAAGTAAAATAAATTCGTTTTCAAAGAACCTGTAATTTTAGTTCTGCTGCTCACATTAAAATGTAAAATTGTCACTTTGCTAACAAATGGCTAAAAATATTTTTATGCTAACCAACAAGCTCAGTTGATTAAATGAGAAACGGCGCCTTATCGTTTGTGTTAGCATTCCAAAAATACAAATTTGCTGGCGTTTACATTTCAGTGTTGATGTCGGTACAAGAATTTTATTTATTTAGATTTTTAAACAAACTATAAAAAGCTTTAAATCCCAAGTAGCTTGAAAGGTGTTAGCATTAGTGAATCAGCTTCAGCTAACAGACACCTAACATTGCAGCACTCAAGATTTACGAAATATTAGCCTTTAAAAACTAAATCTACGGGTATTATTAAAGCAATATTGTAAGAACACTAAATTATTTATTTTGATTTACATAAACTGGAGGAAAAAGCTTCATACCCCTCTGTTAGCTTTAGCAAATTAGCTCGAGAGTAATATCCATGTTAACTTCCCAAAACTGCAAATGCAATGTATAAAGATTCAAATATTAATGTTAGAACATTGAATGATTAATTTTAATTTATAAACCAAACAGAAGAATAGGTTAACATCCCTCTGGGTTTTTAACCATGTGAACAGCATGAAATACTGTTTTAGCATTAGCCATTCTTTAGCTAGCAGGAAACAAACGCACAGCCAAAGTTACTGCACTCAAAACGATTCACCTTCCAAAACTACAAATGTACTGATGTTTCTATTTAAAGGTTAATGTCAACACACTAAATTTAAATTTATTTTAAATTTAAATAAAGAAAATGGAGGGAAAAGCTTCACATTCCTCTGTTAGCCTTAAATCACATGGATAGCATGAGTTAGCATTAGCAACGCTTAATGTTCAAAACCACAAATGTGCTGGTTTTAACTATTAAATATTACTATCAGGACACTGAATTAATTTTATCTGACAAACAGAAAGTATTATAGAAGTCTTTCAAAATAAAATAACTTCATTTTGGCTTCCTGTCAAACCAGCGGAGGCCCTTTCTGATACTCTCGTACCTTTGTCGGCTTGTTTTAGCTGCATTACTGCGTTACTCAGCTGAATATTGTGTGTATTTAAGTGGTGCTGATCGTCGGTTGGTTTTCTGCGTGTCGGGTCTTTGTTTAGGCTGTAAAATGTTCCTCAGACATGCAGATGTTCTACTTTTTTGAAAACTTGCACATTTGTAAATGTATTCCTTTTGCTTTTCTTACCTGAACACGACAGGACGTTCAACTTACTGATCAGCTTGTTTAATGTACATTTGTTGAAATCAGAAGACTTTTAATTTTATTTTGCTGCAGTCTAGTTATAACTTTCATTTTTTTTAAATTCACGTTTTGTTTTTGTTGTTGTGGATTCCAGCTTTGTTCACATCGGATTTTTTGTTCTCTTTAGTGGAACTTTGTGTGTTTTGTGTATTTTTATTTGTGAAATCGATGCATCTTGCTATGATTTGATAGTTTGTTCAAATTTCCATATTTTAGTCTTGTTGGGTGTGCAGTGTGACCCGAGGCGTGTGATCCGTTGTTTGAACTTTGTGACTGTTAGCTGATGGACGTGTGGACCACAGAGAGGTTTGTCTTGTTTCGGGAGATCTGGCTGTTGTGTTGAGTTTTTCTGTATGTGTGATGATGATGATGATGATAAAATCCTAATGCATTCTCCTCTTCAGGGGTTTATGTAAATCGTATGAATATTCAGTTTGTCAACTATGGTTTGTGTAAATTTCCACTTTCTGGTGGGTGCTCTCCAGGTAAAAATGTAATTTTTTTTGTCCTGTTAAAATTCTAATGTTTAATTCACTTGTGTTTAACCAACCTGCAAATCCAAGCTGAGTGTGTGTTATATCCTCAAGACTGCTAGGTGACCTGTCCCCCACCTGTCATACCTGTCCTGCCTGTCGGTACCGTCGGACCGGAGACACGAACGTGTTGAAGCCCGGCTCCCGTTCGACCCGGCGGCTCCGAGGCCAGAGAGTTGAATCCCTTCAGACTTTCTTCTAAAAGCTGAGCTGGGTCCAGGCTTGGTGTGCGGTTCTGTTTGGACCGCAAGGCTTCTTGGTGGTCCCAGAACCGAACACGAAAGCACCGGTCCACTTCAGCTTCAGGCTTCCTGTTTCAGACTCCTGGTTCTGAAGGCAGGAGCTCCTAGTTTCTGGTTCTTGTTTTTTTTTTTTTCTAATGGACAGAAGTCCAAACTATAACCTGCAGAATTTTCTATTAGGTTCTATTGACAGATAGTTCTGTGCGAACCCAAACCACGACTGTTGTGGCAGATGCTAATAATATGAGGGCTAATAAACCGGCTCATTCTTTCTGACTCCGTCTCTGTTTCTGACTGCAGATCAACAAAGTTCAGTTCAAAATGTTAAACTAACAGAATCTTGTAAATATTTATTCTTTGATCCACAGCAGAGTAACAAACTGTAATACACACCTGGTGCCAGTAGGGGTCGAGACATGGGCCTCAGTTTGTCTCATAGACCCCAGTTCTTCCCATGGACCCCAGTTAGTCTCATGGACCCCAATTTGTCCCAAGGACCCAAGTTTATCTCATTGACCCCAGTTTGTCCCATAGACCACAGTTTGAACACCACAGGTCCCAGTTTGTCTCATGGACCCCAGTTTGTCTCATGGACCCCAATTTGTCCCATGGACCAAAGTTCGTCTCATGGACCCCAGTTTGTCCCATGGACCCAAGTTTATCTCATTGACCCCAGTTTGTCCCATAGACCACAGTTTGTCCCATGGACCACAGTTTATCCCATAGATCCCAGTTTGTCCCATGGATCCCAGTTATTCTCATGGACCCAAGTTTATCTCATGGACCCCAGTTTGTCCCATGGACCCCAGTTTGTCCCATGGACCCCTGTTTGTCCCATGGACCCTAGTTTGTCCCATGGACCCCAGTTTGTCCCATAGACCCCAGTTTGTCACATGGACCCCAGTTTTTCTCATAGACCCCAGTTTGTCTCATGGACCAGTTTGTCACATGGACCCCAGGTTGTTTCATGGACCACAGTTTGTCTCATGGACCCCAGTTTGTCACATGGACCCCAGTTATTTTCATGGACCCCAGTTTGTCCCATGGACCCCAGTTTGTTTCATGGACCCCAGTTTTTCTCAGACCCCAGTTTGTCTCATGGACCCCAGTTTTTCTCAGACCCCAGTTTGTCTCATGGACCCCAGTTTGTCTCATGGACCGCAGTTTTTCTCATAGACCCCAGTTTGTCTCATGGACCCCAGTTTGTCTCATGGACCCCAGTTTTTCTCAGACCCCAGTTTGTCTCATGGACCCCAGTTTGTTTCATGGACCACAGTTTGTCACATGGACCCCAGTTTTTCTCATAGACCCCAGTTTGTTTCATGGACCAGTTTGTCACATGGACCCCAGTTTTTCTCATAGACCCCAGTTTGTCTCATGGACCCCAGTTTGTCTCATGGACCCCAGTTTGTCAAGTGGACCCCAATTTTTCTCATAGACCCCAGTTTGTTTCATGGACCAGTTTGTCCCATGGACCCCAGTTTGTTTCATGGACCACAGTTTCTCACATGGACCCCAGTTTTTCTCATGGACCCTAGTTTTTCTCATAAACCCCAGTTTGTCTCATGGACCCCAGTTTGTCTCATGGACCCCAGTTTGTCCCATGGACCCCAGTTTGTCCCATGGACCCCAGGTTGTCTCATGGACCCCAGTTTTTCTCATAGACCCCAGTTTGTCACATGGACTCCAGTTTTTCTCATAAACCCCAGTTTGTGTCATGGACCCCTGTTTATCTCATGGACCACAGTTTGTCTCATGGACCACAGTTTGTCTCATAGACCCCAGGTTGTCTCATAGACCCCAGTTTGTCCCATGGACCAGTTTGTCTCATAGACCACAGTTTGTCTCATAGACCACAGGTTGTCTCATGGACCCCAGTTTGCCTCATGGACCACAGTTTGTCTCATGGACCCCAGTTTGTCCCATGGACCCCAGTTTGTCCCATGGACCCCAGTTTGTCTCATGGACCCCAGTTTGTCTCATGGACCCAAGTTTATCTCATGGACCACTGTTTGTCTCATGGACCCCAGTTTGTCACATGGACCCCAATTATTTTCATGGACCCCAGTTTTTCTCAGACCCCAGTTTGTCTCATGGACCGCAGTTTTTCTCATAGACCCCAGTTTGTTTCATGGACCACAGTTTGTCACATGGACCCCAGTTTTTCTCATAGACCCCAGTTTTTCTCATGGACCCCAGTTTGTCTCATGGACCCCAGTTTATTCCATGGACCCCAGTTTCTTCCATGGACCCCAGTTTGTCAAGTGGACCCCAATTTTTCTCATAGACCCCAGTTTGTTTCATGGACCAGTTTGTCCCATGGACCACAGTTTGAACACCGCAGGTCCCAGTTTGTCCCATGGACCACAGTTTGAACACCGCAGGTCCCAGTTTGTCCCATGGACCACAATTTATCCCATAGATCCCAGTTTTTCCCATGGATCTCAGTTATTCTCATGGACCCAAGTTTATCTCATGGACCCAAGTTTGTCCCATGGACCCCTGTTTGTCCCATGGACCCCTGTTTGTCCCATGGACCCCTGTTTGTCCCATGGACCCCTGTTTGTCCCATGGATCCCATTTTGTCCCATGGACCCCAGTTTGTCCCATGGACCCCAGTTTGTCCCATGGACCCCAGTTTGTCTCATGGACCCCAGTTTGTCCCATGGACCCCAGTTTGTCTCATGGACCCCAGGTTGTCTCATGGACCCCAGGTTGTCTCATGGACCCCAGGTTGTCCCATGGACCCCAGGTTGTCCCATGGACCCCAGGTTGTCCCATGGACCCCAGGTTGTCACATGGACCCCAGGTTGTCACATGGACCCCAGTTTTTCTCATAGACCCAAGTTGATCTCATGGACACCAGTTATTTTCATAGACCCCAGTTTGTCCCATGGGCCCCAGTTTGTCCCATGGGCCCCAGTTTTTCTCGTAGACCCGAGTTTGTCCCATGGACCGCAGTTTTTCTCATAGACCCCAGTTTGTTTCATGGACCAGTTTGTCCCATGGACCAGTTTGTCCCATGGACCCCAGTTTGTTTCATGGACCAGTTTGTCTCATGGACCAGTTTGTCCCATGGACCAAAGTTTCTCATAGACCACAGTTTGTCTCATAGACCCCAGTTTGTCTCATGGACCCCAGTTTGTCCCATGGACCCCAGTTTGTCCCATGGACCCCAGTTTGTCTCATGGACTAGTTTGTCTCATAGACCACAGTTTGTCTCGTGGACCCTAGTTTGTCTCGTGGACCCCAGTTTGTCTCATAGACCCCAGTTTGTCTCATAGACCCCAGTTTGTCTCATAGACCCCAGGTTGTATCATGGACCCCAGGTTGTATCATAGACAACAGTTTGTCCCATGGACCAGTTTGTCTCATAGACCACAGTTTGTCTCATAGACCACAGTTTGTCCCATGGACCCCAGTTTTTCTCATAGACCCCAGTTTGTCTCATGGACCCCAGGTTGTCTCATAGACCACAGTTTGTCCCATGGACCAGTTTGTCTCATGGACCACAGGTTGTCTCATGGACCCCAGTTTGCCTCATGGACCCCAGTTTGTCTCATGGACCCCAGGTTGTCTCATGGACCCCAGGTTGTCTCATGGACCCCAGGTTGTCTCATAGACCACAGTTAGTCTCATGGACCCCAGTTTGTCTCATAGACCACAGTTTGTCTCATGGACCCCAGTTTGTCTCATAGACCCCAGTTAGTCTCATGGACCCCAGTTTGTCTCATAGACCACAGTTTGTCTCATAGACCACAGTTTGTCTCATGGACCCCAGTTTGTCTCATAGACCACAGTTTGTCTCATAGACCACAGTTTGTCCCTGATGTCCTCACAGAGACGGGTCCAGTCTGTCTCTCAGTGTCCGTCTCGTTGTCTCTTGGCGTTCAGAGAAGTGGGAGTTCATTATTTATTCATGTTCCGGGGCGCAGACAGATGGCGGCGCAGCGCTGTGATGTCATCGGGTCGTTAAGACGTTACTGTAATCACAGAACCGTCTCCGGGGACAGATTGGACCTTCGGCTCTTTAGCTGCTGGAGGTCCAAATTATAAAAGTTTTATTTACAGCTAAAGTTTTTTATTAATCAGTTTTTAAAACTAAAACTTGTTAATTCTGCTGAAATAAAACAAGCAAAACGGTAGCTAAAATGAAAAACTAGCTAAAGGTTAAAAGTAGACAAAAGTTTAATTTTGGTAAAAGTTGCAGCTAAAAGTAGCAGGATGGTAGCTAAAACTTACAATTAGCAAACCTGTAGCCATAAAGAGCAAAACAGCTGAACAAGGCAAAATGTAGCTAAAACCATAAACCCAGATTAAAGTAGCACAATAGCTAAAAGGATCAAAACAAGCTTTAAGCCGAAGTAAGCCAAACAGTAGCTAAAAGTAGCTAAGTAAGTTAAAATTAGCTAAATGGCCCAAAGAAAGCATTTTCAAAAAGTAGCTAAAGTTGTAAAAGAGTAGCTAAAAGTTATTGGTTCCAATACGTAGCTTAACTTGTTTTAGACTATTTTAAAAAACTGACTTGTGAAAATAAAATATTTTTATTTAAAGGGATCCATGATTAGTTGTAACATTCGACTTTATTTGATAAACTTTTATTTTAACTGTAAAATAAATACTGTAGGATGTTTAGTTTTTATAATTTTTTCAAATATATTTCAACACGGACGGAGCCATTTTATTTGCACACAAAGCATTCTGGGTAAATGATGACGTGGATAGGTCCTCGGTGCGAGGCTGCTAGCGAGCTATATCCACCCTGAAGGTTAATCTTGGACAATATCTGAGTAAAGGTGACTGACGGCGGTCAGTCACCTTTACTCA